CTTAGTTCTAATAATTGAATCAATATAACGTAATGCAAAAGATATTTATACTTTACTTTCAGCAACTGGTTTTTGTCCAATATTTATGAGACCATTCTCCAAGGACTCCCACGTTGCTCCTCCTTTCTTGTCAACATCTTCAACTCTGTTCAGCCATTTTACCAAACAAGATCTGAGGCGGTCATTAGCTGTATTCCTATCAGATCGTATAGTACTTATTGTCACTTCATAAAGACCAATATCCAGACAAAGATCTTCCCATTGACCGGGATCAAATTTGCATTCCTTTAATTTCGAAACAATTTCAGATAAATCTGAAATATCCAGTGGTTTACCTACATAAAGTATAACAATGTATTATACATGTATTATAGCAGAGACATAGATTCATTTTTCTTCTTAGACAGACTAAGTATCGTCATGTAATATCTATCATACATTTCATTGCATAACATACTGGCAGTGGTGGGTGATGGAACCTGTGGAGGTTTAACGTCTTCAGGATGCACATGCACATGGTTGGTTGGTTCACCTTCTTTTCCTTTCATTTGCAGGTATGATGGTAAGTATATCATAAGTGCAACAGCTACAGCAGCAGTGCAAAGAGGAAGAATAACCCATCCATTGCACATGAAGGAGGACAAAGAACTAATATAGTTAAACAAAGAGTTTGATGACAATAGTCTTATACTTACATGTATAATATGGTATTGAGGTGTTTGGCCAGTACTAACATACAAACTTACTCTTCTTTGTCTCAGTTTGACCAGTAGCTATATCCCCCATTGTTTCTTGTACTGTAATGGTACTATTAGTATCAGTGACTGAAGAAAGAAGGTCTGTACAGTTTTATTAGTGAACCTAATTTTAATTTTTTCTAAAATCTAATTTTTTTTTCAAAAAAGGCATAAATTAAATTCACAACAAAAACTAAAAGTAACTAATAAAACCATTAATTGTTTCACTCTAGTTCACACTACAGTCTACAGATCAATTGTACGATCATCATCCAAATGATGAAGAACATATTCTGCAGCTGCCTGACATGCGAAAGGCTTCCAAGCTTTGTATTCAATCTTCTTCCCATCAGCCAAATCAGCAACAGCTTTAATGACAATAGCTTCCACTTTATGTTTAGCTTTTATAGCAGCATAAAATATTCCAGCTCCTTCCATTTCACCAGCAAGAGCATCAGGACATGCTTTTTTTATTTTCTCCTTAAATTCTGGGTCATCAACCAAAGCAGGAACAGAAACCATGGGACCACAATGAACTTTGACTTCTTCAGCATTTACTTTATTAGAAGATTTCATCTTTTTAAAATTATCAGCTTTCCTAAATAATGGTACAAGAGTATCTCCCGCTTGTACTGGATATTTTATACGAGGGTTGATACAATCTGGTTCCATACGAATGTTATGTAAATTCATGATACAGTCAGAAACAATGACATCACCAAGGTTTACTTTTTGATGCAATTTAAAGCAGATTCCAATGGCGATAATATATCTTGGCTTAAATATCTCCATCATCTTGTTTGTGACTGCTTCAGCAGGTAAGGAGCCTTGATCTTCCTTTGTAGGTGCACTCTGTACAACAACAACTGGGTGCTTCCCATACTTTCCAATGTAAATATCAACACCACCTTCTTTTAACTTCTTAATAACTTTATTCTGACCATCTAACGGCTTCAAGTACTCCAATACTTCTTTCAGCTCTGGATCAGTGGCAGTCATCAGCAGGAATTTAATACCTTTAGTGACATCATCAGATACATTTTCCTCTATAGATAAATCAACATTATGTATTAGTTAAAGCACTGTTGAGAG